GGCTGGAGCCTGGCTGGTTCTTGGGATGTCCTCAAGCCATCTTTTTTATTGTCCTGTTCCTTTTCAATAACCGAGTTCTCCTCTGCTTCATTTTTGCTTCCACTATCAGCATTCAATCCCAGTATCACACTCTTAACCCACATTTACATATCTTAATCCAGTCATCTAGATACAAGATCTGATATATATATATATATATCTGAGGAAACATTAAATTCATGTATATATATATATATATTCATGAATTTAATGTATTTTTTATGAATTCAATTTGTTTCCTCATTCTGGAAATGGTGGCCATGATTGTCTTCATGTGGCAAAGATTGCTGCAGTTGTGTTTTTCACCTGATACAGACAAACAAAAACAAAATTTTGCCACGCACATCTGTTGAGAACCAAATTGCTTGCAAAAAAAGGCTTTTGTGGACTGAGTTACCACTCTGTGTATGTGTATATGTATATATATAGAAAGAGACAGACATACAGACAGACACATACATAGACACAGACAGACACACAGATCCAAAAAATGTATATGAACTTCAAGAAAAACTACTATGGTGCTTTTTCAACACATGGTGTTACACTCACATGGAGACCCTAGAGGATATTGTTTATCACAGAAAACCCACTACTCTGCCGCACCATAGAGAAGAAACTGAAAATGCCTGTGTGGCAATCTTAATGACCAACGTTACTCAAGCAGCAGCTGGCCATTCTATAAATGCCTGGGAGCTAATTTCTATCACTTTGAGTACCGCTTGTAATTATAGATGCCGAAGTATTTGTATTAATCTCATGCCTCAATAAATTTAGTATTAAAATATTTGTAGAGTTTTATTGTTGAAGTATGTATAAATTTTTCTGTCTCTATCTCTCCATAGATAGATAGATAGATAGATAGATATAAATATAGATAGATTTATAAATAGTATATGAACAAATTTACAAATTTCACCTTAGCTTTCTGAATATGGAATCTCATAAGCAAATTAGATGAATTAGTTGTCATATTACCTAAATAGCTCTTCATCTGTTTCCACTTGGTTTTCCCTTTGCCTTAGGGCAGATTACAGACTAATTATCAAGCTCTCCCTTCAGAATGTGTGGAAGTTTCTCATTTCATGTATTTCTCCCTCTTTTTTTCCTCTTTTCCAAAGTCTTGACCTACTTCTATTTTTCTCTTTCTTCCCCCCAATACTTTCTTCTCATTTGCTCTATCTAATTTCTCCTTCCTTTCCCTCTCCTCCTCCATGCTTCCCCACTGCTCTGACCTCTTCTCTGTCTCTTCATTATTTCCCATCACCTTTCTTTTCTTCAGTCTTTTCATGAAGTAAAGGGTGTGGAGCAGGGGAGTAAGTGTGCAACTTTTACTATATACAATTTTATCTGTTGTAATTTCCTGTTTAAATGTGAGTTGAAAATACCCATTTTCCCTAAGAAGTATTATTCAGTTCAGGCTTATCCTTATTTTAATTTTCTAAATTGAATCTGGTAAAGTAAATGTCTCAAGAAAATGCCTGTATTGTTAGCTTTTCTTTTGCTGGACAAAATACTCAATACTCACTATTTAGAGAATATTATTTTGGCTCATCGTTTCATTGTGTTCAGCCCATGGTCATCATGGACTAGGCATGGGAGAATGGCCTGATGGAGAAAGTTGCTCATGTCAAGGTGACCAGAAGCAGAGAGACAAGCAAAGAGTTGGTGATGAGACTACATCCTTCCAGATCACGCCCCTAGTAATCCAGCTCCAACCAGGCTTCATCTTCTAACAGCATATTCATCTGCTGAACTCACCAATGAACGAATTTATTGATGAGTGTAGCAGCACCCCTAAGATCCAATCACATGAGACTTTTGGGAGACACGTTAGATTATAACCATAACATTCCATTTCTGACCCCAAAAAGCTCATGTCCATCTCATTATGCAAAATGCATTTAGTCCATTTCTAATAGTCATTGAAGTATTAACAGTTTCAGTGTTGCTCAAAAGCCTAGGTCCAATGTGATCTCTGAGACTCAAGACAAACTCTTAGCTATAAGCCCCTATAAACATCAAAAAGAAAGTTACATACTTTCAACATACAATGGCACAGGGTAAGCATTTCTGTTCTAAAAGGGAGAGATGGGGGAGGAGGATAGAAAGTAATGGGATCAAAACAAAACAAAAATTCTGTAAGGTAAAAGTTAAACATCATAGTGTCATATAGAGCACGCAGGACAGGCTGTAGCGAGATGTTAGTTCCAAAGGCCTTGGGAGCCCACCCCTATGGCCTCTCTGATTGCAAGCCACATAACTTCTCTATTGGGCTGGCTTTGTTTGCTGCCTGAAGCTTTCCTCAGTAGATGTTCCACATTCCATGTATCTGAAAATTTCTGGAGAGTCCACTGCACTTCCACAGCTTCATATATTACCCTCTTGGGAAGCACCTCACCTGGCCTCTCAGGCTATCTTTTGAAATATGAGCAGAAGCTTCTATGACCCTGCCACTCTCATAATCTGCATGCCTGAAAAATGGCATTGTTTGGATAATGCAATCTGTTGTTGGTTTGAGCTATAACCTGGACCCCTTATACCATGGCTGTAGCAGTGTTAGAATTTTGGATGGTGAACTTACACTTTCTTCTGCATTTCCAAGTGAGTATAGTGCCTTTGGGCCCTCTTCTTTAAGTTAAATCATTCAAAAATGTTTTCCCTTTTATACTTCTAAAGCTGTGAAGGGTGAGTCTGACCAGTTCCTGAGATGATTTCAAACCTTTCTTCTATTGTCCTGATACAAAATAATTGGTTTCTTTTTTAATGTTAATTTTTTCAACAATCGTTCTTTTCTTTGTCCCAACTTTGCAGGCTCTTTTTTTCTAGAAGAAATTATAAAATTTTTATATCTTTCACCTCTGCTTTTTCTTCTGGTTCTCACTGTAAATCTGGCTAAAAGCAGCCAGCAATACCCACGCCAGATCTTAAATGTTAACCTGTTGTGAAATTTCTTTCACTACATGAGTTATTCCACTGCACTTAATCTCAGTCTTCTGCAAAGTCTTAGGACAGAGGCAAAAGGAAGCCAAATTGCCTATCAGAGTATAACACACACGGCCTATAGTCTGGCCCTCAGGAGAATCCTACTTCTGATCTGAAATTTCACATGAACCTGGCCAGTCTGCATTCATAACAAAATTCTGGTCTTCTAAAGTCGACCAAAATCTTCCATCAAATCCTGCTTATAGAAATCTAAGGCTTCCCTCATCTGTTTCTCCAAAACTTTCCAAAATTCTTTCTTTAGCCAGTTCCAGAGGCTTCTAACCTGCATGATCAGGTACAGTCATAGCAATGAACCTACTTTTGGTACTAACATTCTATATGGGTCAGCTTTCCCATCACTGGACAGAAAACAACTGATAGTTGCAACTTAAAGAAAGAGAGGTTTATTTTGGCTCATGTTGCAGTTTGTGTCTAGATGTCCCCCTGAAGCTTCATACACTTTTAGATGGGCCCTTTGCAGAGGTAGCTGAATCTAGAGTTTGTGACTGATTCATGGTTCGGTGTTTGGATTAAAGGTACTGGGATTACGGGAGGGTGATTGCTGAATCAGTCTTCTGATTGGATGGGAACTTTCCTAGTCTCAGCAGTCTAAATAAGATAAAAGAGGCTTGTTTATCCCTTTCATTCTTATTGCTCTTGCTATCTCCCACTGCCATGAGAAGGTTAACCTAAATCCCAATCTTTCCTCATGTTTCCTAGCTGTCACGTGCCCCTTTGCCATGTGCCACCTTGCATTGGAGCCAGATATGGACTGAAACCTCTACAAACCCACGAACTAAATGAACTTTTCCTCCTTTAACTTTGGGTGTCAGGTATTTTGTCTTAGAAGACAGATAAAAGTAACTAAGACGGCTTATAACTCGCCTCTAACCAAATCCCATAGAACAGCAATTCAGCTACTAAACTTATCAATGGGTGAATTCACTGATAAATATAGTAACCTCATGATCAAACCAGGTTCCAAACACACGGGACTTCTGGTGGGACATTTTAGATCTAAAGCATAACAGTATGTTAACAATGATTTTCTGTGGGAGGCAAGATTATGGGTCATATTATATCTTCTGTCTCTATATATACTCATGTTTTAAAAGTATCCGCATTCTTTGAAAATATTAGTGACATGCATTGTTATACACTATGGCCTGCATGTTGAAGTCTTAACTCCTGAGAGATTTGCAGGTGGGCCTTTGGGGGATAATTGGGTTTACATGAGGTCATGAGAATGGGTCCCACGTGGGATTCATATCCTCATAAGAGATAAAGATCAGATTTCTCTCTCGATCCAGGATGTGAGGATGTATTGAAAAGACAGCCAGGAATAAGGCCCTTACCAGGAGCCCAATCTGCTGGTGCTTTGATCTTTCTGGCCTGTGGCACTGTGAAAAATGGAGCTTGATATTTCAGTCATCCAGTCGATGGCATTTTGTTATGGCAGCCTGCATTTGCTCCTTTAGGTTTTAAATTTTTTTTTGTCTTAGAAATCTTTTTTGTTTTTGTTTTTGTTTTTTTTAGAAAAAAACAATTCTAACAAGTTTTGTCTTTCTTTTCTGGTATTATATGTAGAAGGTAATAGTGAGATTCTTTTACTCTTTCCTTGGTTGTTAAAGTTAAATCTGAAGTAAGCAACAAATTTAGGACATATACTAAAAATTATTCATATTTTCCTGAAATAATTTATTAAATTCAGCAACCTTAATGTTGCTCTATCTTGTTTTAAGAGAGTTTCATTTATCCTTGATACACAGGAAATTGGAAGGTAGGAAATGTGAGAAAAGATTGAGATTTAGGTTAATCTTCTTCTCATTCTGTTCACCAGTTAGAACTCAATGTCTGTGCTAAGCCCTGGTGGAAACTTCCACAGAGTATAGCTTTGGAGTCAGGATTCAATCACTGCATCATCGCTTATTAGATTTGTGACACTGGGAAAAACTCATCTGTAAAACAGCAACACTATAGCCCTGAATCAAAATTGGCAGTTTTCTGAAATTTTTGGTTTCAAGCAAGAGCCTAAAGCAGTAACTTTCTACAATCTGTTGGCCATTTCAGAACTTTAGGAATATAATGTCAGTTCATTAGAAAGAAAGAACTCACCCTCTGGTGAGCTTGCCACCAGAGGCCCAGAGGAGAAGAAGTCACCCCTTCCTCCCTGTGTGAGCCTGCTGCACAGGTCAGGAGAGCAACCCATACCCCTGGAGAGAACCCCTGGGTTCTGCTGCCATGGGGGAACCTCAATGAGCAACTGTCCTGTTCCTCTCTGCCATAGGGAATCTCAGATTGGAGGGACCCAAGTGCCTGGCCCAACTCCCTACACCGCGGGAGAGGCAGCCAATGCAGGAAACGCCTGGAACTCAGCAACTGGCTGATTCGGAGGAACAAAAGTCAAGCCGAAGAAAGATGCACTCTCAGGCCTCCAGCCCACCCAGAACGAGTTCAGAAGACATACATATTAAAGAAATTAGAAGTCACACACCTGAATTTCTGAGGTGGTGGCAATTGAAGTAAAGAAACAACTCAGTGCTTATGCTGTTTGACTGACTTTGCATGCCTGTGTCTGGTGTTCTGAACATCTATTTAGAGGATAACAATGTGCATCATGGTAACTATGCTTGATTTCCTACTGTCTTGCTTTTGAAACCCAATATCATTCTCATTGTTTTGTTTTGTTCTCTTTAAAATAAAAAAATTAAAAAGCCAGCAATATTATGTCACAAGCCATCTGTGTTGTTACAAGCATTAAATAAAGTAATACCTGTACAAATTTAGCATTGCATCTGTTAAAAATCAAAACAGTTCTTGTTACTGTGAGTAAAGATATTTGGTCCCTTTCCTTCATGCCGTCAAAAAAGGACAAGTATGTAAATATAAGATGTACAGTGAGGAGGGTGAAGAGAGGGAAGCTACTACGTTATGGAAGTTTAGAGAGAGGTGTACCTTTAATACTTGCAAACAGGTATTCATTTAATGCATCGCAACTGAACCTTGACCATGCACTAGTTACATCAGGTTGCATTTGAAGTGGGACTAGATTATGGAATTTAAAGTAATATCATAGACTATGTCCCCGTAAATTCATATATTGAAACCTAACCCTTGATGTGATAGAATGTGAAGGTGAATCCTTTGGGAAGTGATTAGGTCATAAAGGTAAAGCCTTCATGAATGAAAATAATGTGCCTGTGAAGAAGACCCTTATACCCTTTCAGCAATGTGGGATCTTCATAGGCAACCATCTATGAAGCAGAAAGCGGGCCTGCAGATATTAAATCTGCAGGTGATTTGATCTTGTACTTAGTCTCTGGAACTGTGAGAAATAAATTTCTGTTGCTACCAAATCAATGGTGTTTTAGTTATGGCAGCCCAAATGGACTAAGACAACTAAAGACATGTTTTAGCTTCCACCTGGGTGTCTTTGTGCTCTCGCCACATGGGCCTCCTTTAGCACATTGAGCTGTCTTGAATATTCAACATCTTGACATGCATGATTTCTGATCCCTTTGTCTGTCATGCTGTTCTCCATCCATGGGCCTTGTACACCCTACTCATAATTCAGATTTTAGCCTAACTGATCTTCCTGAGAAAGCTTTTTTAGCCCTGCTCATTGACTGCGGTCTTCTTCCATGCTCCCAGGGAACCCTGAAATCCCCCTGCACATGTTCGTCATTATTTATGTGTTTTTAATTGTTTGTATACTACCTACAACGCTACGAGGTAGGAACTCTGTGAGGTTGTACACCCCTCTCTGGGCATAAGTGTTTGGCTGTCAATAGAAATTTGTTGGCTGATGAGCATGGTGGAGAGTAATAAAATCTTGCAATAGATGATGGCAATGGAAATGACCAGGAAGAATGGGGAAATACGAAATCTATAGGCCCTTGTTGTCTCTCCCTAGCTGAACATTCTAGAACGAGTGTCAACAAATGGTGAATGGGCACTAATGAGACCAACTGCCTATCTCTGTAAATTCGGTTTTGTTGGAATAGAGCTGCATCACTCATTTTTTTATGCCTCCTCTCACTCTACAGTGCTAAAGTTGAGTCACTGTGATAGAAAGGGAGAGGGCCTGTAAAACCTAGTGTGTATACCGTCTGGCCCTGCACCAGAACAGTTGCCAGCCCCTGCTCTGGAAGAGTAATTACCTAAAGGTTCACTAGAACAGTAACAGAGCCCAGCTTGGTGTGGCAGGATTATAGATGAGCTTTATATTTTTCTTAACTTTACACATTACTCACATTTTCTACAAAGGACGTATATTCTTTTTTATAACCAGGAAAGCAATAAAGGTTATTAAAAACCACACCAAATTTTCCATTCTTTTTAGTTTTTAATTTCTAGTATTTTGTGGTTTTTAACGAAAAAACACCTTTTTAATCAGAACTAGTCTCCTTGCTACTTTAGAGACCTTAAGACTGTTCCAAAGCAAGAGATGAAAGCTCTGCTCCCTGTTTCCAGCCCGGTAGGACTATGCCCTTCTGCTACTTAGAACCTGGCTTTTAATTCTGCGTTCAAGGAATCAAGCTGAATGTTTCCTTGAATATGGGTTACAGTAAGTGTGTACCTGTCACATGCTGTACAAGGCCACGTTCAGCAGCTTTGTGAGAACACTGGTTAACACCCAGTGGTATTCTAAGCAGGATGGCTTTGAACCAGAATGTCCCCACAAAAGACAGATGTGTTAGAAGTGAGATTTCAGGGGTGATTGGATCATGGGGCAATATAATCATCCACAGATTGGTCATTGATGAGTTCATGGAAACATTTGCTGTTGGGAGGTGGGCCTGGTTGGGAGGAACGTGTCATTTGAGGAAATGCTTTTGCTGAGCATATCTCCCTCCCCACTTTCTCCTCTCATGCTTTCCTCTCTGGCTGCCATGCCCCCTCCATACCCTTCTACCATGCTGTTTCAGCTCATAGCCAGTTGGCCATAGACTGAAGTTCCTGAAACTGAGCCAAACGAAACCACTCTTCCCTTACATTGTGGGTATTGTGCCCAGTAAGGGAAATCTGTGTAATCCAGAGTTTATTTTCTAGATTTTAATGACAATTATTTATGCTAACAAAAGATGCAAGCACAGAAACAACTCAATGATTATAAATATTTTTTAAATGGTGTTAGGAAATTATTTTAATTAAAATAAAAAATTAATAACAGATTTTTAAACATCTGGTAAAAGAACGAGATCAAATTTCTCATTTAAACATCTCTTTCCCCCCTAAAAGTTCCAAATAATGTAAGCACATTATTATTACAGAGATTTTCTGCTTATAATTTCCCATTATGTAAATAGGAATTCAACTGTATTATTCATGACTATGTCTCCAGCACATAGAATCAAAAGGAATACATATTTGGTGCTAAATAAATATTTATTAAATGAATCATTTCTAGTCTCCAGGAAATATATATGAATAGGAAAAAACTAGTGCCCAGTGAAAATAATCATTTACAAAATATTTTCGCTAATTATAATACATGTGCACTTTTAAAAAAATAGAAAATTAAGAAAAGTATTGAAGGGTATGGTGGCACATGTCTATAATATCAGCATTCAGAAGGCTGATGTAGGAAGACCATTTAGAGCTAGAGGCTAAATTGGACTCCATGGTGAGTTCAAAGCCAACCTGAACTACACAGCAAGACCCTGTTTCAAAAAGAAAAAAAAAGTGGAAACTCACCTCTGTTTTTCAAATTCTAAGAGATCATCTTTGTTATTTTCTTTTATTACTTTCATTCTTTTTCTGTACGCATAGCTTTTTAAGCACAATGTTAACCATGTATATGTAAAATTTTGTTTTTCTTTTAGAATTAATCTTCCACGCGTTCCAGTCTTCCAAGCGTTCTGTGTAATTCCAATTTCCCCATAAACTGCAATTTTAATGATTCTATGACAAATTAAATTTGGAATTGCATTATTTACTTAATCTTTAGAGTAGTCCTTTTTCTTCACAATAGTGCCGCTATAAATACCCTTGTGCATTTAGCTCTTTTTTTGGAGCAAGCCCTTGATGGATGGTATATTAACCTGGAAAGCCTGCTATGCTCCTGGAAGAAACAACTTCAAACCTGTTTATGACAACAAAAGTTTGTTTCTTGTTCATGCTACCTATCTATTAGAAAAATAAGATGAAGTCATAAAACTGCAGTTCCCTTCAGGAATTTGATTCAAAAATATTTTATTGAATTCCTGTGATTATGAGGCCCCCTGCTAGCTCTGAAGGTAATTCAAAAGATTTTCTGATTAGTCACAGATAAATAAAAACTGGGAACTGTTCTCAGACTGTACAGCAACAGAAAAAAAAAAAAAACAATGGAGGTGAAAGATCATTTTTCTTGTCTAGTCATTTGCATGCCAAGTCTGTATTTCTTCTTTTTTTTTTCCTTGCCTGTTCCTCTGTGTACAAAGGGTAATGTTGCGAACTGAGCAGACTCTGTGCCCAGGCAGTGGGATAACCAGCCTTGGTTTTGCAACACCCTCAAGCTCCCCATGACCTCCAATGCTATTATGAAACTCTCCAAACAAAACACATTTAAATCCACTAAAAACAAATAAAATAAAAAATACCCTTTAGACCAATAGTCCTAATCCTAGGGATTTTCCAAAAACAATATTGCAAAAAAGGAAAGACCAAAACACACATTAAAATCCTTCACGATGATATTTGTAATAGTAAATGATGCTGGGTAAATTTTAGTTTAATTGCTATATTGAATGTAATGATACAGTGAAAAATGATAAATATGAAATTTATGCAGAAACATGAATCCTTTGATTAATAATCAGTAATAATGTTCCAACTATGTTATACAATTATGTATAAAACAGCCAGCATTTAAAATGAGTATAGTAGAAAGTATGGTAAATAAAATGATTGATTTGTTAAAGGATGGAAATTTTGTACTTTTAAGGAGTTATTATATAAGTTATTTTAAATATTCAAAACAATAAAACATTTTTAAAAATACAATGAAACCCATTCCTAAGAAGATCTCTATCCAACTAATGTTTTAAAAATTTGAAGGTAAATGCTTAGATGCCTAACACAGTGTTGGGCTGTTAGTTTGTTAGCTCTTCTGGAAGCATCTATTTCTC